GACTTTCCCGCAATCTGTGGAACTGAATTCTTCACTTTGATTTATTCAGACTGGAAATGTTTAAATTTGGGAACAAGGACTCCTGAATGAGTTTTAGCAGTAAATGTGTAACAACATTATGATGTTGGAGGTCCTTGTGTGGTTGGAGGTGGTGGTTGTCAGTGCCGACTCACGAGTCCTAATGTGGCATTGTGGATAAAGCACTGGACCACAAGGTCAGTTTGAACCACAACGTTGGTGGTTCAAATTCACCTCGGAAACTCTATACAAGGTCGGAGAGTTGGAACTGACTCGATGGCAATTAACAAAAACATAGTTTCCAAGGAGTGTCTAGTGAATTTGAACTTGAACCTGTGGTTGTTTAGCAAGCCTGTGCTTATCCTACAGTGCCACACCAGGATGAGGTTAGAGGTTGTTGTTGTTGTTAGGTGCTGTTGAGTCAATTCCGACCTATAGCGACCCTGTACTGGGTTTCCGAGGCCGTAAATCTTTACAGGAGCAGAAAGCCTCCTCTTTCTCCCACGGAACAGCTGGTAGTTTTGAACTGCTGACCTTAAGGTTCAGAACCCGTATCGTAACCACTACGCCAGCAGAGGTTAGAGGTGGGAACAACTAATTACAATTTTCATTCTCGTTTTACAGCCGAAAAACCATCTTAGTAACTTTTTGAAAATTGAAGGTGTCTGATCTGGTACGAAATGTTTCAGCATAACCTAGTAACAGACTTTAAGCTAGTTTATACTGGGTATTTTATCCTGTGTGGTGGTGTAGGGTAAGTACTGGACTACTAACCACAAGGTCAGTAGGTTCAAACTCACCAGCCACTCCTTGGAAACTGTATACAGGGTCCTATGAGTTGAAAGGAGTCCTAGTGTGGTGCTGTGGGTTAATGCATTGGACTGCAAAGTCAGTTTGAACCGCAAAGTTGGTGGTTCAAGCTCACCAGCTGCTCCTCATAAACTCTATAAAAGGTTGCTATGGGTCTGAACTGACTCAGTAGCACTTAACAAGTGTAGTGTTGGTAAGCACCTAACAGCTACCTGGAAGGCCAGCAGTTCAAACACACCAGCTCCACGGTTGAGACCTTGCGGTCTCTCTGCCAGTCATTTTTATATACCACAGCCCATGTGGTACAAGTAGTCAAACCTCTCATCACACCTCCTGAGACTCTAGTGATCGGCTGCCTGGTATAATTGTGTTGACTCTCAATCACTGGCCTCAGTTGTGATCCTACTTTCAGAACAAGGACCAAAGGTCAAATCACTCACTGCAAAGGACTGCCATATCCTGAAGTTTTCTGTAGCGAATTAATACTGATATAACTTACATAGTGTTAATGAGTATTATATATAGCAGTTAAGAACATGCTACCTAGGAACAGGCAGGATCCTGAATAAGCTTAGCTTAATTAAATATCAGCTTTTCCTCATTTGAACACAGTATGTGCAAAGACCTGAAGAAGGAAAACCAAAAGGAAGAACATTCTCAGCATTTCTCAGGCTGAGAGAACTGAAGAAAAAATTCAAGCCTCAACTTGAAACACTGAAGGATTCTATAGGTAAACTATTAAATGATGCAGAAAGCATCAAAATAAGATGGAAGGAATACACAGAGTCTATGTACCAAAAAGAAACGACTGATGTTCAACCATTTCAAGAGTTAACATATGATCAAGAGCCAATGATTATGAAGGAAGAAGTCCAAGGTGCATTGAAGGAATTGGCAAAGAACAAGGCACCAGGAATTGATGGAATAAAAGTTGAAATCTTTCAAGAAAGTGAGGTGGCACTGGAGGCAGTCACTCATCTCTGCCAAGAAATTTGAAAGACAACTATCTGGCCGACTGATTGGAATTTGTGCCCATTCCAGAGAGGTGATCCAATGGAATGTGGAAATCATCTGACAGTATCTTTGATATCCCATGAGAGTAAAGTTTTACTGAAGGTAACACAAAAATGGCTGCAACCACATATTGACACAGAACTTCCAGAGGTTTCAGCCAGATTCAGAAGAGGATGTGAATTGGGAGATATCATTGCTGACTTCAGATGGATACCAGAAAGATGTTTACCTATGCTTTATTGACTACACAAAGGCTTTCAATTGTCATGAGGAACCTGTACCTAAACCAAGAGGCTTGTTCGAACAGAACAAGGGAATACTGAATAGTTTAAAATTAGGAATGCTGTGCACCAGGATTATATTCTTTCACCATATTTATTTAATCTGTATGCTGAGCACATAATCCAAGAAGTAGGATTATATGAAAAACATGACATCAGGATTAGAGGAAGACTAATTAATAACCTGTTGATATGAAGATTATGGAACCTTGCTTATTGAAAGCAAAGGGGGCTTAAAATACTTACTGATGAAGATCAAAGACTACACCTTCGGCATGTGGTCTTTGATTTTCATCAGTAAAATCCTCACCACTGGACCAATAAACAATATCCATACAAATGGAGAACAGATTGAAGTTGTCAAAGACTTCATCTGTTCAGATCAACCATCACCACATACTCATGGCAGCAGCAGCCAAGAAATCAAACATATTGTATTAGGCAAATCTTCTGCACTCATTAAAGTGCAGAAACGCAAAGATGTCAGTTTGAGGACTAAAGTGCACCTGACCCAAGCCATGATATATACACGTGAAAGTTGTCATAGACAGAAAGAGTTACGGTGTTAAGAGGAGAATATTAAAAGTATCATGGATTGCCAATAGAACCAACAAATCTGTGTTGGAAGAACAGACAGAATGTTCCTTGGAAGCCAGGATGGGCAGACTTCACCTGTCATACTTTAGTTGTATTGTCAGGAAGGACCAGTCCATGGAGGAGGACATCATGTTTGGAAAAGTGGAAGTCAGAGAAAAAGAAGACCACTAACTAGATGGACTGGCACAGTGGCAGCAGCAATGGGCTCAAGTGTAGCAGCAATTGTGAGGTTGGAACAGGAGTGGACAGTGTTTTGGTCTGTTGTGCGTGGGGTGGCTCTGAGTTGGTACCAAGTTGATGGCACCTAAGAACAACAATCCCTTCATTATCAACTCTAGTAGGTTTACACACACTCACTGAAGACTATAGTGCAGAACACAAAACTGGGAGTGTATGTTTACTTGAAGACAGCACAGTGCTAATGGATGAGGAGGTAAGAGAACGATGGGAAATTGGGGTTGAATTAAGACCTTCTGTAAGAATTTATATAATATCAGGCAACTGGAAATTTTAAGCAAATACACAACTTCATGCCATATCACTGTTGTATGCTGCTGTATGCTGGCAGAGTAGAACTGTCCCATAAAGTTTTCTAGATTGAAATATTTATGGGAGGAGATTGTCTAGTCTTCCCTTCTTCCCTTCTGTGGAGACACTGCGGGGCTTGAACCACTTAGCTTTCTGGTCAGTTGAGAACTTAAAACCACTGGGTTTCCAGGACTATGCAATATCACTAGAGAGTAAAATATACTCTTCCAAAAAAGTACTGTATTTTTATGCAAATAATATATATTTTTTGGGAAACATACAATATCCTTATGTGTTACATTCCTATGCATAATGAACACATTTTATGTGCATACATTATTTATAATGGGCCCATTATATGTGAAAATGCTATGCTTTAACAGGTGACCAACTTTGCACAAATTTTAAAAAATAAAGCACTGATTACACAGTACTTTTCTAAGAAGTTGATTATTACGTCAGGAAAATGCTGTCCTATAGTTGGGCTATCTTCGTTGCAAGTACAAAGGAATAAGGATTACAAAACAAGAGGGTTTGAATATAGATTATGAAAAAATGTTAATCTAGTTTTAAGATTTCCTTCTAGATTGTCATTTTTACTTTCTTTTTGTTCTAACTGAAAAATTTGAAAAGTAGTAGTTTTATCTATTACTAGAATAATTTAGTTTACATAACACTACAGAAAATGAATACAAAACATTATTGATGTAATTATCTCCCTTAAGATGTCCATCATTCCAAGATTTTCTTTTCAAGGTTGTAGCAATTTGCCACAGTTACTTAGGGGAGAGTGTCTGTGTGTGTAAACAGATTAAGAGAAAACAGAAGAATGTGTTATCCATTAACTTTCTTGATATTAATTCTTAGAAGTAACAATTTACAGCATCAGTACTATTTGGGAGAGTTACGTATAGCAGTTAAGAGCAATGGGCTTTGGAGTCAGAACTTGGCTTGAATCTATTACTTTCTTTGCTATGTGGTCTTGGGCAAACTATTCAACAGCCTAGTGCTTTAGTTTCTTAATCTGTAAAGTGTGATTATAATATTGTCTCTGTTTTTTTGCAAGAACAAAATACAATAACATATGTAAAACTACTGTTCAGCATACAGAAAAAAACTTAAACACCCATTAGCTATCATTATAAATTATAGTTGTCTATAAGGGTCGCTAAGGGTCAGAATCGACTCGATGACACTTTAACAGCAGCAACATGGAAATCCTGGTGTGGTGCTGTGAGCTAATGCGGTGGACTACAAGGTCGGCTTGAACCGCAAAGGTGGTGGTTCATGCTCTCCAGCTGCTCCTGGGTCGCAATGAGTCAGAACTGATTTGACATCACACAAGAACATATAATAGGTGCTTAAAGATGTATGGGGAAAAATGGAATTAAATGATAATGGAAATTTTCCATGAAACTTTTTTTCTATTTAACCACTTGACAGAATGCTTAAATCTTTTCTTCAGCATAAGGAAAAAACGGGTCCTAATAAAAGCTCTTCTCATTTCAACCATTTACAATGTGATCCAAGAGAATAAGCAAATAAATTCATATTTAAGGATTTTCCTTGTATTTGTCACAAAGATTATCATTGCTCTTACATGAAAGAACATCCATATACACTTTTATTAAACTATTTAACAATGCGTACACACAATATGTAAATGTTTTTGAAATCTTCAAGTTCTCTGATTAATGCAGGAACATATTCATGGTGTAACCTTAAATATTATATGATTTCGATTTTTTTATTAAAGAGATTAACCCCTAAGGGATCATATTCCAATGTAACTGTCCATAAACCAGAAAACTGCTTCTGGTAGGCATTTCAGCATATGGATGGCTCCTCTACTGCGTGGGCTCCCTCTGTTACAGCTTTGACACACTTGGCCATTGTCTGTGAGGCTCTGCTAATTGAATCTGTAATGATAGTAAGAAAATGTGTTCTTCTGGTAATATAATTAAAAAACAAAATAAGAACAACAACAAAAAAAACCAATAAAACTCTAAGGCTGTATATATTTTAGGGGAAAAAAACAAAAACACTATGCAGCTCCGTACGTGTTAAGAATAGAACAATGCTCTACAGGGTTTCACTGACTAACTTTCTGGATACAGCCAGGCCTTTCTTCCCAGGTACCTTTTGGTTAACAGTAGAGCACACTAACCATTTACACAACCCAGGGACTCTAATGACAAATTAGGGAATCTGCTTTCTTTCCACTCTTCATATTTTGTAGTCATATTGACAGAAAAGGTTAAGAATATTTTTATAAATACCTTCAGCAGGAGAAGGAAACTGGTGAGGGCTATAGTTACACATACCTGTCATGTAGAAGTCTTTTATTGTTAGCTGAGGTGGGACAAGAGGATCAGCAAGCAGTTGCTGATTCACTAGCTGCCAAAAAAAAAAAAAGAGTAAGCGATCAATGACAGTGCACAAAGTAGTCCCGGTCCAACAGACACATCATTCTGAAAAGTGCACTGCACACAGGTAACGTTACTACCTTTGAGAGCTCATTTGCTTGCTGGAAGTAGTTGGCTCCTTCAACATCATCATATCGAACAAGATTAGGAGAGACTTCTTCCAATCGGTTCCTCACTTGATCCAGACTATCATAGGGAAGAGTCATACCAGCAATCTACAATATTTTGGGATCCCAAAAGTGACATAAAGCTTAATAATTTCAAGTGATCTATAATTGAAGGTACAGTGAAATAATACAATACTATTGAAAAATTCATCAGTGTCTATTAACCGCTCTAAGTTTAGTAAATAAGCAGTTACATGGGAAACACAACTATAAAAATTCCTATTAACTGGGACAGCTGTCAGTGTATTAGTATTAGTAAATTACCTTTAGAAAATACTCATTATTAAACAAATGATTGAAAAAAAAACAATGTGGTAATCTATCAGTAGTCACATACAAAATCAATAGATGACCAGCCCAAAACCAAACCTACTGCTATTACGTCAGTTATGACTCATAGCTCTCATTTCTTGAGGCTGTGTACCAAGTAGAGGGATTACTGGTTAATATGGTATTTCTACTGCCAACTTTTTGAGTTAGTGCCATACTATTTTCCATAATAGCTGGACCATTGTACAGTCCCACAAGCAGAGTAGGAGGATACCAGTCTCTCCACACCCTTACCAGCATTAAAAAAAAAGAAAACTATCATCAGTCTTGTTGTTTTTATATGTATCTTTCTAATAGATAATGGTCTAGAGCATTTCTTCATGTTTGCTGGCCATCTGAAATGTCTTCTTTAATAAAGTGTCTGTCCATGTCTTCTGCCCATTTAAAAACTGGATTATTTGTCTTGTTGAGGTGTTGACATGTTCTATATATACATTATAGAGAGTAATCCGTTGTCTGATATATCATTGCCTAAAAATTTTTTCCCAGTCTGTAATGTGTGTCTCTTGCAGACAGCATATTGAAGGATCCTGTTTTCTCAACCATCTGCTACTCTCTGTCACTTGACAAGTACATTTAATCCATTTACATTCAGTGTAATTATCGACAGGTATGAAGTAGAGTCCTGGTGTGGTGCTGTAGGATAAGCAGTGAACCACAAAGTGGGTTCAAACTCACCAGTCACTCCTCAGAAAGCCTATACTGGGTCACTATGAGTCAGAACCAACTTGAAGGCACTTAACGACGAGATCATAGTTGTCGTTTTACTATGCCTTTTTTTGGTGTGTGTGTGGTGCTGCTAATTTCTTTTTTCCACATACATTTCTGCCCTGAGTTCATTTGTGGGTTTTCTTTCCATCTTCTACACTGCTGTTATTTTATTTTTAATAAACTTTCTGATTTTCCTATTTTTAATTTTGATGTAACGGTATACTAATTTTCTCTGCACTTATACTGTAATTTATTTTTTCCCAAACCATTATCTTGAAATCTACTTGGCTTCTTCAACATTCAAAGGTTCTGTAACTCTAAGCTTTGTAGCTGACTTCATCATTATAAATGCTGTTGGTTCTCAGTCCAAAGAACCACCTTTTGTATTTTTTTAAAGTTGGTCTGGTTATTGCAAATTTCTTTAATTTCTGTTTATCTGAAAATGTCCTAATGTCAAAGCTGTATTTTAGGGACATCTTTGCTGGGTATATGATTATTGGTTGGCAGTTTTCTTGCTTTTGAGTTTTTAGTATGTCATTCCATTGCCTTCTTGTCTGCATGGATTCTGCTAAGAAATCAGAGCTTAGTCTTACTGGTTCTCCTTTGTAGGTTACTTTTCGTATTTCCCAAACTGCTCTCCTGATTCTTTCCTTGTCTTTGGGTTGGAGAAGTTTAATTATATGTCTTGGTGATTTTCTTTTGGGGTCTATATTGTTTAGGGTTCATTCAGGTTTTTTTTTAAGTTTTTATTGTGAATTAAGTGATTGTTTACATGGGAGAACATTAGCTTTACATTCATCCTATCATATTTCATTTCATTGCAATGATTACAATCCCCTCCAAGCATCATCAAACAACCAAAAGGTACACCCAGCAAGCCTCATTCAAATTTTAGCATGCTTATTTTTATGTATTTCAAGGTATTAGGAAAGTTTTCTTCCAGCAGTTCTGACAATTTTCTAGTGCTGTTCATTATCATTTCTATTCTGGAATTCCGATCAACTTCTAAGTTATTCCTCTTTAAGATGTCCCACACAAACCTCAGGTTTTCTTCTGATTTTTTCATCCATTTTTTTCTGATTGTATACTACCTTACTATTATTGAGAGATTTGTCTTCACGTGCACTAATTTGGCTTCCAGCGATTCAAATCTATTCCTTTGCTTTCAGTGTATTTTCCATTTCTGCAATCTTTTTACTAATCTTTCTAATTTCAGGTTTTGCATTATTTCAAAATTTGTATTTATTTTGACTGCTCTTGCAGTGTTTTCCTAAGTTTTTTTTTTTGTATTTTCCTCTTTCTGTCAATAGTTTGAAGGTACCTAAATATCATTCATTTGAATTCTCAGGTAGTTCCATTACCTTTCTTCCTCAGAAATGTTCTGGCTCCACATGTTGGCCATTTGTTTGAACCACTCTACTATCTTTGTGTGAGCTAAAATTGTCTGTTGTATCTGACACATTGTGGTGTCATAGTTAATTGATGATTGTACGTTGGTGTGTTCTTAGGCTCTTATCAATTCTCTCCTGGTGCGTGTGACTAGAGAATAGAAGCTTGAAAACCATTTTCCGCTCAGTTTGTGCAGCTCAGTTTAAGGTGGGTTTGGCTGATGTTGGCTAATGCCTTTCTTTGATCAGGTAGATGGTCTAGGAGCTGGCATTGATTCTTGTCCAGTGGCTGGAACTTTTCCGTCACCTATGTGCATCTGCACCATTTGTCTACCTCTACAAAGCTGCTCACAAAAGTTCAAGATGGTTGCACCGTGTGTAGCCAGCATTCCTTTCACCAGACAGTCTCCTTAGCTCAGCTTCTCCCCCAGAGGTATTTAATCCACTTCTCTAACCTTTCCTCTGAATCTTAGGGTTCCAGGACCGTCCTCTGTGTCTGTTTAATTAGGTCTCTGATATCTTTGTTGTTGGGGGTCCATGTAGCATGTTTGCCTAGTCTGCCATCTTGCTAGAAGTTTCATCTTCTTTGGCTGTGAAAATTATTTTTACAAATTAACATGTCAAAACTCCTGTTAGCATCACTAAGAAATGCCTCAAAAATAATACCTCAGAGAGGGCTCTGATAATCTTCCAGTCTTCTCTTGCCAAGCCAGGTGGTGTCACTGCTACTCTGGTCTGCTGAGCTCGGCCCTCGGTATTGACATATGTAGCTGACTTCTCTGTGTAAGCAGCTCCTGGGAGAATAACATCAGCTATCGGAGCTCCCACATCACCATGATGTCCTATGAGAAATGGAAAACGGCAAAACGTTTTGTTAAAAATCTGATTAGTGATTTGACATAAAGATGGTATATATCCCACTTTAACCACACTGTTTAAATTACAAAAAATATTTTTTAAATGAAAACAATATAGTACTGAAGTATTTGAAGTCCATCTCATGCCCAATTCAACTTAGTTCCAAAAAAGAATTACTGTTAAAGAGTTTGATATTTAAACTATTTTATGCAAATACATATAACAATACACAGACATGTAATATAATGGGCAATTGGTATATTATTTATTTTGATGTGTATAAAGTAGAAATGCTCAGATATACCAGTTAATGGAATCCAGTAAAGTAGACTGAAATAGTAAAAGATGGCAAAGTACATAACAGGACTAAGAGAAGAATAAAATGAAAGGGGCATAGACAGAAAACTGTAGGAAATACTATTCTGAAAGACAAAACAGTTTGAGATTAAGTTACATAACAATAATTGAGGGGGCTTCAAAAAATTCATGGAAAAATTTCATAATCTTTTAGTTCAATTTTTCCACAAACTTTTAAAAGTCTCTTCATATAAAAGTTTGATTTCATTTGTGTACATATTATCTGTATATGCATGGCAAATGTATGAACTATACATATCAAAACTGTTATCAATATTATCTCTGGAGAACAGCAGAAAACAGGATATAGTTTATGCATTTTGGTTTAATTTTATCAAACCAAACAGTGCAAAAATGCATTTTATGTACCATGGCAATAAAATGCTTATCATAAATTTATGGTGTTTATGTGTGAAATAAAGAAGAAAACTACATAATACTTTCTGGGGAGAGAAAAAAAAGAAAAAGGAAAAAAAAAGGCAAAACCCAAAAACCCAAATGAGTATTATGCTTAATTATGACAGTCAAAAAATCAAATAAAGTACTGCATTAGGGACATCTCCTGTACAAGACCTTATTAAAGTGTGGAAAAGCAAAGATGTCAGTTTGAGAGCTAAGGTGCAGCTGACCCAAGCCATGATAGTTTCAATGACCTCACATGCATGCAAAAGTTGGACAGTGAATAAGGAAGACCATAGAAGAATGGAAGCATTTGAGTTATGGTATTGGAAGAGAATATTGAAAGTACCAGGGGCTGCTGCCAAAAGAACAAACCAATCTGTGTTGGAAGAAGTACAGCCAGAGTGCTCCTTAGAAGCCAGGATGGCCAGACTTTGTCTTTCACACTTTGGACATATTGTCAGGAGGGACAAGTCACTGGAGAAGGATATCATTCATGTTTGGTAAAGTGGAGGGTGGAGAAAAAGAGGAAGACCCCAACAAGACGGACTGCCACAGCGGCAGCACCAATGGGCTCAAATGTAGCAACAATGATTGTGCGGCTGGTCCAGGACCAGGCAGTGTTTCGTTCTGTTGTGCATAGGGTCACTATGAGTCAGTACCGACTTGATGGCGCCTAACAACAACAATAAATGTCATGTAGTACATGATGAAATTGACTTAGACTGAAACTTAAAATGTTCCACGGTTTCCACCGTTCCCTAAGTTTTTGTTATTGAAAAGTTGACATGCTAAAACACAGTAGAACTAACATTATTTATCTCTTTCATTTTATCCCATGATTATACTACTAATTTAGATTTTGTTTTCTTAAACTCTAAATTTCTTCATACATAAATAATCTAATTTCCTTCTAGGACTCAAGTGGTTTTTGAAATTAACTTTTTATGATATGCTTATATCCCTTTCCTGATCATGTAAACACAGTAAGTATTCTTTGAAAAGTTTACTTTTAATGTCTATATAATACTCAACTACATAAACAGACCATAATTTAAAACCATTACTATTGTTGTTAAGTGCTGTTGAGTCAGTTCCCACTCTTAGTGGCCCTGTAGAGATTTCTGAGGAGCAGCTGGTGGGTTTGAACTGCCAACTTTGAGGTTACCAGTACAGTGCTTACCCTACAGTGCCACACTAGGACTCCTGCTACTGAATATTAAAATGGCTTCTAATTGTTATTAAATATGTTGTTGTTTATAAGTGCTGTCAAGTCAGTTCTGACCCATAGCGACCCTGTATAGGGTTTCTCAAGGAGTGGCTGGTGAGTTTGAACTGTCGACTTTGCGGTTCACACCGACCTTGCAGTCCAGTGCATATATCAGATAATTCTTAATAGCAATTATCAACTATGTATAATAAAATCTAAAAGCTAAAATTTGGTTAAAGAGTTATTTTTTTTTGGTAATTCTTGAATGGAAACAATTCAGTCTACCGTTATATTGCAGAACAGTTTCAGTATTCACAATGTACCATTCTCTTCTGCTTCTGCTGTTACTTACCTTGATAAATAATGAAACAATCCTTTGGCAAATCCTGTCGAGTAATACAACCTCCATCTGCTCCTAGGAGAAACAGCACTTTGGGAGGGTTCTTTCGAATTGCTTCCACCCCAGGTTTATAGCCAAGGTCCAAAGCAGCTACTTGGCTTGCAATCCTGTATGATAATTATGGAATATTAGCACAGTCACAGTATTTTCTATTTATATATCAATCTCTCTCTCTGTCTCCATATATAAAATAAATCAGTTCATAGGTGTGGTTCTGTGGGATAAAACACTGGACTGCAAAGTCCATTTGAATCACAAAGTCAGCAGTTCAAACTCACCAGCTACTCCTTGGAAACCCTAGACAATGTCATTCTGCGTTGGAACTGACTCTACGGCACTTTAACAACAGCATTTGTCTTTCAATGCTATCAAAGACCTGCCAATCTCTTTGCTTATCCACTGACAATGGATGTCAAGAACAGAAGTAGCATTTCACTGTCTTGAGAACGGCAAACAAAGAAATCTAAGAGGCTACTAACTCTTTGTAAGTTATTAATGGAATAATTCCGAAAAATTTTAAGCCCACTGAAATTGCCTTAAGATGATTCCCTCAACATAGTAAGACATAGAACAAATAATATTAAAAAAAAAAAATTAGATAGCTTAAATACCAAAAGGGAGAAATTTAAATACAAAGAACAGTAATTCAAAGAAAGCAAGAGTTATCAGCATATTGGTACCTGTCCTCACAGATCTTTTCTATGAATACATAATTTTATAAGCACAAAATAATATCTTAAGGATAATGTCTAAAGTAACTTTGACACCGGAGTATTTTGTCTAGTCTGCTATAGCATTAACTTTCTAGTAAGTGATAATCATTTTGAGGGCCTATTGTTTACAAAGCCAGCTGGTCTTCTACCTATTTAAGGGAGGAAGGCAGGTCAAGGCAACTGCTACTCTCTGTGGGCACTCTGATGGGGGTCAAAGAGAATGGTGGGCTGAATCACTTCTGCTATGATTTTTTCAGCCTAATCACAAATCTGTTTTGCCTTTCCCAAGAATTTACCGTCCTGATGTGACCAATGGATGAAACCCTTTTAAGAACAATGGCTTTAATATAGCGAAGATGTAAGAAAGTTTTCAAGATTGCCTTTTCTATTACTCACTGATAGGTTCTCAGTTTTCTCATGAGTAAGAAACAAAGCAAGATGTTCACAGTAAAACACAACAAAAGGAAAGAAAAAAAAAAAAAGGACAGAGGACTGAGCTTCAGCTAATGGAGGAAAGGGGTGAGCATAAGAATTACACATTAACGAAATGTGACTTATACCAGGAATACATGATTGGTTTCATATTTGAAAAATCCATGTAATATACCATAACAATAGAAGATTTAAAACACCCCACACGATAAACCCAACATCCTTTTATGAAAAAAAAAAAAATAAAACAAAACAAAATACAAAAACCACTAACTAACAAAGAAGGCATATAAGGGCACTGCTTCGACCTGAAGAATACCTTTAAAGATGTCTACTGCTACCAGTCCTATTCAACACTGTACCGAGAATTCTTCTAAACAGGGCACTTTGTTTAGAAGAAAGAAAAGAGACAAAAGGCATCCAGATTAGAAAGAAAGTGGTAAAACTATTTGTACAGACATGATCTTTATTACAATTTCCAAAAGTGTGTGAAATCTGATAGAGTAATATGATAGAGAACTTTAGGTATCCACTTTCTTTGCTATTTTAGATATTTTTAATATTATTATCTTGAGTTTGCCCATAAAGAGTACAAAGGATTTGTTTCATATCTACAACCGGGGTGATAAAGAATTACAAATCTAAAGTGACAGGACAGTAGGAACACATACAAGGAGGCTTCAAAAAATTTGTGGACGAATGAACTTAAAAGATAATGGAATTTTTCCATAAAGTTTTAGAAGCCACCTCATATTCACAAAAGTACTTGAATTTTAGTATTAATAAATTACTCAACACACCTGTGAAGAATATTCATAACTTTCCAATCACTAGCAACACCACTGCTTGTCCGAATCTTCTGTGCCATGCTGGTAACAGCTGCAAGAATTGCTGCTCCATCATTTCTTTGTAGTGCAGAACTACCTAAAACCACCATTGGTTTTTTAGCTTCCTTTAGGACCTATTTTAAAAAAAGCAGGATTTTGATACAAAAAATATTAAGAGTAAAATAAGCCTAATCAAATTTTAGGTCTAACATAAACATGTCTGATTTGTTAGTCAACATATGGTCATACATACAATCGATTTTAGTATGATTTTTCTATAAAAAAAAATACTAGCTAAATATGCTTTGATCCAAATGAAACAGAAAGGTCACAGAAAAACTGGGGACTATCCCTATAGAGACTCAGTACTGAAGAACCAGAGAAATCATGTTGAAGTGTCATGTCTACTGTCCTATCTACCTGCTTACTGCCTCCTAGACAGACAGGAAAAAGTGTGGAAGCAATGATCACTGAATCACAATGCAGAACACTTACAAATGTAAGGTAAGGGCCTTACTTTTAACCATAGTAACCAAAAATAAAGAAGCAAAACAGTGGTGAAGGTAACAAGTAAGATGTAATTCACTCTCCTGTCCATCTCCCATGTTATTCTTAAATGAATGAATAGCTGTCCCCAATCGAAGATGAAACTTAATAATAATAAAAAAAAATCAGCATGAAGAATTGTGCATAGATATTATAAAGGAAAAAAAAAAAAGGAAAGGACCATTAGTTATAGGAAGGACAATCAACACAACAGGCGTTTTACAGGGAAATGTGAAGAGTTCAGAAAAAGTCTCCAAAAGCCTCAAAGACAATGAAACAACAACAAAAAAAACTCTTCTTCAAAATGTTTAGT